TAATTCAGTCAGTTGAAACATACCTTCCAGAAAGAATGTATCATGTGAATCACGAGCAGGGTATTGTTGTGGCTGGAAAAATGCATCAAAGTTCCAAAAGCTACAAGAGGAAACAGATTGGGGCGTTGAAAAACTGCTTTGATAAAGTGGAAGTATGGTCGGAAAATTTTCAGTGCAGCAGCCGTCGGGCATGGCTATCGTGTAAAGGGATCCCACCGTTTGTGTGGAGTCATTCCACCTTCAGAAATATTGCAGACAAATGGGGAGATCTTATTTCCATCGAGGAAGTGACCTTAAATCCTAGCTCGTTTGATAGGGCTTTAATTCAGATTATGATGAACTGTCAAGCTCGAGTGGAAGAAACCTTTGCTTTGAAAGTCGGGGAATTGATCTTTACAGTATATGTTTTTGAGTTTGAACCTTGTTTCAGCCCAGAATCTATCTGGGTAGATTCATCCTTGATGGAAAACGCAGTTGCCTACCTGTTATCCACAGTGGGAGAGCTCATTGGTGTATTGCCAGGAAAGCCTCCCGAGATGGAGGTATGTTCTGAGGAAGCAGGAAGAAGCGTGGACTCATCGGAGGAGAAGAATTTCGAGAGGTGTTCTGAGGAAGAAGACAGTCTATTATGTTGTATGGGGAACAGAACTAGAGGCAGCAACTTGTCGGGTGAGGATGAGGAGGAAAGGAACATAGGGGAGGAAATGATTATGGGTCTGAGGAATATTGTTGCTGGTCAGAGGAAGGTTTAAACGAAAATCGAGGAAGCGGTGGAACACGAGGTACTGCTGGATCACGAGGAGAGAGAGGCAGAAGATGACAACAGGAATAGTTGTGAGACTGCACGTGCTTATGAGGGATTGAAGGATTATTTTATAGATTTCCCCATGTTGGATTGTCAAGTAGAGTCGAAGGTGGTGGAGGATGTGATTAATGTGAGCCTTACAAATAATTGCACATTCAAAAGTTCCAAGGGTGAGGCCAGGCAGAACCAGAGAGCAAAGGAGGGGAATAACAACAAATATAGCTCTCTCCAAATATTTCGAGAGAAGTATACGGCTCCCCAAAGGAAGACTAGAGGATGCCGAAGCAAGAATAATCAGAGTAAGGTGCAACGCGAGGAAGAGGTGTCTGAACTTGAAGACATATCCCTATATGATTCTAAAGGCTCACAAGTGTTTTTTGATTTCGAAAAATTATAGTAGTGGAAGTATTGAAAGGTGTGTCACAATCCCTTTCTGTTGATTTTAGTTGTTTTCAGAGGAAGTAGATCGAGATGAGGTTCTTATCTTGGATCATACGAGGGATGGGCTCAAATGTTTTATTTTTTCTGAACTAAGGAGGATTGTTGGATGTTTAAGTGTGAGATTGTGTTGATTCAAGAAAAAATATGTAGTGAATAGTTTCAGGGGTATCGAATATGATTTTTGATAATGGAGTTGGAGGTTCGGATGGTCTACGACGACAAGACGAGCATAAGGGGCAGAAAAGCGGATAGAGTGTTTTCGAAGTTTGCTTTTTTGTACTCTTATCGTGTGGAAGCTCATGGCTTTTGTGTTTGAATTTGGCTTCTATGGATTGAGTCAGCTGATATATTTGGCTTTTGTTGTAGTTGTGTTGTTTTGTGTTGTATTTCGGGCCAAGTTTTGACTTTAAGTCTGGTTAGTCATATTAGAGTTATTGTTGTTGTTAAGATGGATTAGGCTGAGTTAGTGTTGTTGTGGAGGGGTGTATTCGGTTGTTTTTGGTTTTCTGTCTTTGTTGGGGGAGATTCTATGGTATATCTTATGTAATTTCTTATGTTTAATGAAATCTTAAGGCACTCTTTTCCTCCTCCTGCTGATTAAGGAGCTTCTCTACAAGCTCCTTTAATCAAGAAAAGGGTTTTTAACGAGGCCTTCAATTCTATAAAAAAATCGTTGTTTCACCTGAATATAAAATAAGGCTAAAAAAGTTAATTCCACAACAAACAAGCTGATGCATAAGCAATAAAAAGTTACAAAAAAATGTTCATACATTGAAATATAGGTGCCACAAAGAATAATGATAATGTCTTACTCAGACCAAAAAGAAAAATGGTTTATTTATCCTCACAATTTTATCGTCTCTTCCATCCATTTTAATGGCAGATATCTAAATGTATTTAGTTGCAAATGATTGCAAAAAAAACATGTATTTAACAGGCTGATATCCTCAAATATTGTATTTTAACTGTTACACATTTTCCCAAAGCTAAATGAAGTTGATAAATATACAGACATATCAGTGCCTTGAGTAATGGATGAAGATGGCCAGCTTCAGCAGGTGGTCCTCGAGCATTGAAGTTATACTCTTTGAACTCCAATTCCTTCCAGTCACCCCTAAAAGAAAGTAACCACGAATAAATACCGGTCCAATAAAATCCTTCCGGAGCAAAGCATAATAGTTAAATAATAAGTCAAAAAGTAAGGGATTCAACTTCACTGACGAAATTCTAGCTTCACAAGCATATTATCATGTCTATGGAATACCTCTGTAGATTCTCTCGAGTAGGATCAGTAGCAACTTTCTTTCTTTGAGGGGCATAATTAGGCCCTTTTCTCACCGAGTATCCTTTCCATGTCCTAAAACAAGATGTAAATGGTAAAGTATCAGCAATGCGAACAAAATAAACATACACTGGAAGAAAATAAATGGAGGGACTCGATGATCCCTGTGCAACAATAAGCTTCCTTGCTTTAAGCGAATTAACATCATCTTTGCAAATTTCCTGGAGTTAACAGAAATAAAAATACAACTTTAATCAGCAAATCCAAAGGAGTAAACAAAATTAAACCCAATTGCATCATTTCACAAAGAAAACCATTCATACAATGAGCTTAAAGCAAAACAAAGAGAGACAGGTAACATATCAAAATGGTGAAATACCTGTCCATTTTGTATTCTAATAAGCAAATCCTTGACCTTGTCTTCGACATGCTGAACCTAAAACAAAGCAAAAACAGCATTGATAAATAACATAATCACATAAAACATGAGCATATTCATGAACATTAACCATAAAGACTTACTTTTCTTCTCGAAACTTGCTTTCCCTACCCTCCTGGATTTATTCAGCAGAGAACTGATGATTTGAGATACCTCTTGCTGGCAAGCCCTTCAGATCCGGAGAACTTCCCATTTGTTGTTTTGGGAAACAAAGTTGACGTGGATGGTGGAAACAGTAGAGTGGTATGTGTTTATTTATTTTACTTATAAAATTCCTCGCTTTGCTGATCCATTACGCTCTATTTCTGTCTCTTGGTCTCTACAAAGACAATATTATCTGCCTTTTGTGGACTGTCTAGGTGTCTGAGAAAAAGGCTCGAGCATGGTGTGCCTCCAAAGGAAACATCCCGTATTTCGAGACATCTGCCAAGGAGTGAGTTAACGTGGAAGAAGCTTTCCAATGCATAGCAAAGAATGCCCTGCAGAGTAGTGGGGATGAGGATGAAATGTAAGTTCAAATTCATAACCAGTTCTATTTCTGATTAGTTATTACTTACATATTTCTGATTAGTTCAATGTCTTAACCGCGACTCGAATTTGTCTATGCATAATTCATTTAACTTTCAACGTTTTACCGTTGCGAATTATGAAGCCTTTCTCCCTCTTCCAGTTAATTGGGCAGGAACGATATTTTGCATGCGAAATCGATTTTTTCGAGAACCAGTAGTTGCAGACAGAAGGTTGTTAAAAATCTCATTAGCTTTTCAACAGTATTATTTCGTTTATTTTGAATTGTCGGCTGACATAACTTTATTTCCATTTTAATGAAGATACATGCCCGACACCATCGACGTTGCGACCACCAGCCAACCGAGGTCAACTGGATGCGAGTGTTGACATAAATTGCGTGATATTTTCCCTGGTTTGTGCAAGTGTTTGATCTGATCTGGCCCTCTCTGCCATTGCTTAAAATGGTGCGGTTGGATATGAGTTGCCTCTTTGCTGTCTTTATAACGATAGAGTTCCTCATTTGTTTAACCATTTTTTTGCTGCAAAATCATTGTTTCCCAAGTAGACTTAAAAAATTGGTGTTGTTGAATAGAGATATTGAGTGTTTCTTTATTAAATTGGTGTCACAAATTGATTAGATATGAATTTTTTTAAATATAAAATATTAATTTAAAATAATAATTAATATTGTTAAAGAGTACGTATATCTTAAATATATATATATATATATATATATATATTTTAAACTAAATAATTAAAAAATATTATTTAGAATTGAATATGGAATAAAAGATTTATATGTAAATCATTTTAGATATAACTTTTGTTAATATATTTTGGGTAAATTTACATTTAGTACCTAAACTATTAGTTTTGGTATATTTTAGTGCCTAATTTTTTTCAAACCATATTTAACGTTTAGTTTTCATGTCATTTTAGTACTCCATCATTAAAAACTTAACGCTTTTGGTTTGTTTTAGTACCTAAAATTTTAAATTTTTCAAAACTTAAGTTTTTATCGGGGTACTAAAATGAAATAAAAATTAAACTTTAGGTATAGTTTTGTAAAAAAAAGTTATGTATTAAAATAAATCAAAACTGATAATTTTGTACTAAACGTGTAATTTACCGTATGTTTTAATATAAAATATTGTCGTTTGTCCATTTTAATCCTTTATTGAGATAATTGTTTTAAATAAAACCTAATATATTTAAATTGAATATGTTTCTAACTAAATCAGAAAAATGTATATAAATTTCTGTTCAGTTGGTGTATTTTCAACAGGAATTCGACGTCAGACCTTTTCGATAAAATGTTAATTTTGATATCATAAATGAAATAAGTTAAAAATAATACATTTTATAATATCCGATTTCAATTAATTAACTAAATATTGATGATTATAAAAAGAGGGTAATTATAGCTGCGAAAAGGGAACTCCCCGCCATTTATAACAACAAAACAGATCTGTCCGTCCACAAAATGGAATGCATGGGGTTATATCTGATCGTAAGATGCCCTAAGAATTTGGTAAGGTTATGGATGTTTAACTTGCATCACCTAGAATTCATCATTACGTCCCAAAGTATCAACACTATAAACTAGCCTTACAAAAAATACAAAAGCATAGATGGGAAAAAAATTCCACGTCAGACATAGCCTCGACAATTTCGACTAGGATAGGATAGGATCGAAGGGAGAACCATAACCATCTGCTCCTTCCTCCTATGATCATGAGATGTCAGTCGATAGGCAGTGGTATCCGGATTACTCGGAGATGAATTGGTATGAATGTCAGTCGATTAGCAACACTAAAGCTAATGCGAACTGCAACTATAAAGGGTAGTACTCACCTGATAGATCTCATGATGACCATCGTATAAGAATGGATAGAAAATTCTATTCACAGGTAGAGACTACTTGGTACCGACAGAGGAAAGGTTTTCCTGGTTAGAAGGCCTAATTGAGCTCCCCGCAACCGTTGTGGTCCTTGTGGATACGTATGGGTTGGAAGGGGTAGGAGTCATAGAACCCATGGGTCTCGACATTGGCAGTCTTGGGGCTTTCATGCTCATAGGAGGCCTAGCAACTGAATTTGCAAAGTTTGCTGCAACTCTATTTGTAGCATTTGGTTGTGGCATTGCTCTAGAGGAGGAAGCTGGCAAGCCCAGTCGAGCAGCAATTATCTGTGATCGCTCGTGGTAAAGCCTCTGCCTTGACCTGTCCAATTGCTCCTTAACCTTCATTACGACTCCTTCCATGTCATTGAAGAATGCTAATTTGGCTTCCAACTTATGTAACTGCATTTAATTAAAGCCTCTGAAAACTTGGGTTTTGCTCCAGTTCGATATTTATGGGAAAAGGAGATTACATGTATTTTGCTACTAACCTGTTTTTCTATTAATGATGCTGTGAGTTGTCGGATTTGGTCCTCTTCCTGATCAGCTAGAAGTTTTGCCTTCACTGCTGCAGCTGAGAGTGCCGTGACTGCAGCACGCTTTACTTTATCAACGCTGCTATTATCTTCTCTGTCCGTAGAATCATGATTCTTGTTTTTACCTTCTTTACTCTTGTCTGCAAAAAGCAATGAGGTAAATGATACAATCCAGAATTAATGCATTTTACCACTAGGTGGTTCTTGTGATATATACTTTCGATGAAATCTATAAAAACACCGCCACATAACCAGAATTGATGCATTTTTCTAGCTGCTCTACGTAAAACCAACAGATATGGCATACACTTAACCTTATAGAACCAGGCAGTGCTTCTAGCCTTCTGTATATGTTTTAAATCAGATTTGTTATCTATCTCTACATATTCTCATAAGATATTGCCAAGCATTTTGCAGTAGAGTGGTTCCTGTTAATGTCACTTCCACATTCTAAACAATATATGCATAGCAGAAAAAGAGAGAGAAACCTGTGGTATCTCCTTTTTCGTTTTCAGAATTTGATGCGACTGGTTGCCGAGACTCGGTCTTTTCTGCTGGTTGTGAAATAGATGCCATTTCAACATCATTTGCTGCCTCTGCAGGCTTATTAGATTCTCCACCAGCACTCAGTTGAACATGTTTTTGTTCGTTCTTTGCTCTGGATGGAGAAGAGGAAGCCGTCTCTAGATTTTCTGACGCATTTCCCGCTTCAGATGGCTTTCCTGCAGCTGCATCACAGAGCTCATTCTTTTCCACTGGAACAGAATCAGAAATATCTACTCCCTTCATTGCTTTTGGAGGCTCTGAAGGTTCTTTTTCTGTTTCCTTCCTGCCCGTCTCCTCCAGTGGACTAGGTAGAGGCTGGGATGATGAGTTATTTGATACCGTCGTTACACTTGGTTGATGATCCTTTGATTGATTAATAATGGTGGATCCATTAAAATTAGCCTTGTTATCTTCTTCATTAGTTGCAGTATTGCTGGACTCTTTTTTATCCACGGTAAAGTCATTGGGTGAAGGTGATGTCACCTTCTCTTCAGGAAGAGAAACTTTGGTGTTTTGGTTGCCATTATTGCTAAATGAACTTTTCTGATCCCCCTCGAGGCTTTTGTCTTCCGAGTTTTTCACATTTTGAGCATCACCATTACCCATATCGTTGACAACACTGTGTGTCTCAGATTAACATCAGATAATGTTAACAAATTGCTAAGCAGATATAAGCTTGACATACCTCTCAGAACATGTTGGTTCCTTCTTGTCATCTGGTGGATCTTCCAAAACAAAGCAGTTCCTTGCAGCCAGTTGAAGGTTAGGACAACTACCAGATAACAATTTCAGTGAACTCTGGGCCGAAACAGAAGCAATGTTGGGTCCGACCAGATGAGCAAAGAACCCTGCCTGCAGTTGGAGCAACACTAATTTCATAACATATCACCACAACAAATAGCAGGTAAATGACGAATAGAGGAATACATCAACAAACATTTTCAAGAGAAAAGTTGCAAAGATCAATGAAGCAAGCCTTTATACAGAAGTACTTAAGATTGTTTCATAAACAAGTATAGAGCATGTGGTAGATTAATAAAAGACTGCTAACAGCATTGCAATCATTTAAAAGGAAGAGGAGAAAATGACCGCGAAAAAATTATTGCTGAAGAGCAGAAAAGCAAAATGCAATAGAACATCACTTTGAGGTTTGATCATTCATTTAATTACCAAGCAAGCCACCGTGTCTTTTACATTGGAGGTCGGAGAAAGGACACCAAAGTTTTTCTAAAAGAAGAAACGAAAGATTCCTGATAATTTTTTTAGGATAAGAAGAGTATTTCAGAAGCTAGGACAAAGTGGATAAATTTAGATTGTTAAATGAAATCAGTTTTCCCTTCATATACATCAATTGATAAAAGCTAAATTAAATACTTACACAGTCAACTTACCAATGCCATGACAGGATTTCCCACATCAGCAAATGAGAGTGTCCCTTCAGACGTTAAATCATAACCAATAGCTTCAAATGCCTCCCTTAGTGCCACAAGTGCACAATTTTCAGTTGTGTCTTTCCCATCTTTTGCTACATTCGTTTCTTCTGGCTTTGATGTTTCTTGACCACCATTTGCATCAGTTTCAGGTTTAGACGTTTCCTCTCTGGCTCGCACTTCTTTTCCATCTTCAGGTTTTGAAGTTTCCATTGGTGTAGTCTGGGCCTGATCCTCCTGCAGAGCAGCATTCTTACTCTCTGTTGTTTCCGATACATCTTTAGGGACAGAGGTTTCATCACTACTGGGAGCTGGTCCAGCAGTTTCTTTTGAATCGGTGTCTATGTCATCATCGCTATTGAAGAATGCATCCTCAATTGGCATTTGAACAAAGTGCAGTATGCATTGTGCTTTTGTTTTCGTAGCAACATGCTCCGCAATCTCATTCCAGTTTTCTTTATAAAGTTCAAGTGCCTCGAGAAGGAGGAGGGTTTCCTGATCTGTCCACTTGCCGCCACTAAGACCAGGGGAGTCAGCAGGTTCCATGAGAATAAAATCCGAAGAAGACATGCCGGAGCCAAACTTCCCATCGTTAAAGCAATCAGTACATAGGTCAAAATCGGCCTGCCAAATACAAACACAATTACATTATAAAGAAATGGAACAAGAAGTCAATAAATAAATAAATAAACAAAATTACTAAATTAGTTACTCTTTCCATTTTGATCATTCACATTATAAAAACTTAAAAGACCAATGGCTTATCGTTGCAAGTAAACAGATGCGCTGGTGGTGCAAACAATTTATGCTCATTTCTGATTTGTTGGACAAGAAGCAGAATCTAAAAAGGTTTGTGGAAATCCAATTTTATTTACCACTTGGCTTGATGTCATATAAATTGATTTTGAAGAAGTAGAATTCCCTCTTATTCTCTCAGAAATATAGGGCTTGTGGAAAATGTACATACAAATGCAGGCAAGATTGAAACATTGACTACCACCATAAGAACACTCAGAAAGAATTAGTGCAGGTATTTTTGTCTTTGTAGTGTATTAAATAATTTGAGGCTTAAACAATTATTTATTAATCAGTATTTAGTAACTGACCTGCTTCTGGCAATGGTAGCGCTTTCGAGAGCAATCACCTGAACAAGAATTGCAATGGTACTCAACTGATGGCTCCTCAGGTGCCATCAAGTCCTCAGCAAGTGCAGAATCAGGAAGAAAACCAGGTGGCACAGATGGAGCTGCAGTTGATGGTTTGAGGTATAGGTTTATGATATGCCCCAACCCAGTCAGATATGCTGCAGTTCCACTTGAAGAAGATGATGATATTAGAACCATGGTTGGATTACATGAGTCAACCAATATAGCAGTTATTGAGTTATTTGTTGATGTACGTAACATATGTGATGTTCCTAGGTCATCAAGAGGTGTGGCTCAAAATCTATCTGAAATGGCTTTATATAGTCAGTTTGAGGAGCCGACATACAAGTTCCCGAACAGTTTTATAGCACTATTGGAAAGTGTAAATGAAGTCGGGGGGACATCTGCAACAGCAGAGTATGAGGCGAGAAACATACCGGAATTGGTTGTTGATATTGACGCTGAAAATCGATGGGGAGAAATTCATGATGATTCAAGCGAAGATGAAGAAACCGAAGAACCTGTTTTGGGCGGCGACGAAAATATTTTTGGTGGAGGTGCAATTGATCAAGTTCCGGCACCGTATGAAGCTACTCCTCACATGTACGAGATAGACTATGATGCGATGAGGGCACCTGAATTCCCAGACATGCCACATTTACCTCCATACCAAATGACTGAATCATTCAATAATTCTGGTGAATTTTCAATTGGGGTGCAATTTAGAGGAAAAAATGAAGCTACCCTGGCGATTAAAAAGTACTGCATAAAATGCCATGTTGATATCCATGTTGCAGAGTCCAACCAGAAAACCCTATACGCGAAGTGTGTAAAATATGGCCTAGAGTGCAAGTGGAAGATCAGAGTGTCGAAAAATCAAAGGCAAGATGTTTGGGTCATCACGAGGTACAATGGTCCGCACACATGTTTGCGAAACTTCATCGAACAAGACCACCGACTATTGGACTCCGATGTAATATGTGAATACGTGAAGGCGATGGTTGAAAAGGATCCAAGGATATCTTGTTCAGTGTTAGCTGCATCTATTCGAAGCCAATTTGGATATCAAGTAAAATATGGCAAGGTGTGGAATGCGAAGATGAAGGCAATGAAGCTGACGTATGGAGATTGGGATACATCGTACAATGAGCTACCACATTTGCTATAAGCAATGAAGTGATTTATCCCAGGAACCATAGTGAAGTCTCAAACCATGCCCGCATATGACAAAGAAGGTCAACTTCTGCCAGGGAAGAAAATATTTTATAGACTATTTTGGGCATTCAAGGCATGTATTGAAGGATTTCCATTTTGCAAACGTATGATCCAAGTAGATGGTACGTGGCTGTATGGTCAATATAGGCATGTACTTTTGATAGCAGTTGCTCAAGATGGTGAGCGAAATATCTTCCCAATTGCATTTGCCATTGTTGAGGGAGAGACAACAGAGGCTTGGGATTTCTTTCTGACCAATCTATGTCAATATGTCGTTCGTGAAGATGGAGTTTGCTTGATATCCGATAGAGGAACGGGTATTTTGGTGGTAATTGAACGACCAGGAAGTCGTTGGATACCTCCGTATGCATATCCGATATTTTGTTTCCGTCATATTGGAAAGAATAGTATCGACCAATTTCATAACGCACACATTCGTAGCGAGATAGTCAGCATGGGCAAGTTTTATTTTCAATATTTGTGCATTTTTTACATGGTTTTTTTAATTGCGGTTTAACACAATATATTATGAAACAGGATACGAACTACGTCGACCAAATTTTGACAAGAGATTAGAGAATTTGAAGGTATTTTACGATGATTAGCATGTTTGGAAGTGGGCTTCAAAAATACCGCGTGAAAAATGGTCGCAAGCATACGATGAAGGTTGGAGATACGGACATATGACCACAAACCTTGCCGAGGCCATTAATTCGGTACTAAAAGGTACACGCCATCTCCCAATTACGAGTGTGATGAAAGAGACGTACTTTAGATTGGCTAAAGTTTGGTCGGACAAAGGCAAAGAAATAGAGAGTCTTATAAATAGAGGTAAAACTTGGGCTCCTACAGTGGTGGAATCAATGGAAGCAAATGAGCGATTGACAACATCAATGGTTGTTCATAATTTCGACCGAGTTGGTCATACTTTTGTCGTGTCGTGCATACGCCGTAACGTCGGAGGAGAAGACCAAACATTTAGAGTTGATTTACGACAGAAATGGTGTGATTGTGGTCGTTTTCAGGCATGAAAATATCCATGTGCTCATGCAGTCGCTGTATGTATGTATGCTGGTGTAAGCTCATACACTTATGTTGATGAGTGCTTTCACCTACGTAGGATATTAAATGTCTACAACCATGCGTTCAGACAGATACCGAATGAATCATATTGGCCCAGAAAAGATCATGACGAATGGCTGCCAAATCCAATGCTTCGCAGAAGTCCAAAGGGTCGACCTGAGTCCACTCGTATTCATACCAGTATGGATTTCCATGCTAGAGAGAGAGATCAAGCAAAGAGATGCGGATTATGTAGGGGTGAAGGCCATTCAAAAAACAATTGTCCTAATTTACCAAGATATAGGCCTCATCATTAGTAATGATATATGTATTTCTATGAATTTTTATGTATTTATAAGATTTAGTAATGATTAGTAATGATGAAATTATTATTAATATTTAATGATTTGATAGTAATGATTTAGTAATGATTAGTAATATTGAAATTATTATTAATATTTAATGATTTGATATTAATGATTTAGTAATGATTAGTAATAATGAAATTATTATTAATTTTTAATGATTTGATAGTAATGATTAGTAATAATGAAGTTATTATTAATTTTTAATGATTTGATAGTAATGATTAGTAATAATAAAATTATTATTAATATTTAATGATTTGATAGTAATGATTTAGTAATGATTAGTAATAATGAAATTGTTATTAATATTTAATGATTTGATAGTAATGATTTAGTAATGATTAGTAATAATGAAATTGTTATTAATATTTAATGATTTGATAGTAATGATTTAGTAATGAAAGTTGTGCCACATTATTAAACTCATGTGACATTACCACTGGCATCCCATTTGTTTGGACCCCGAGTTGCAATGCCACATCCTCTAGAGTTATCGTACATTCGCCACACGGCAAATGAAACGTGTGCGTTTCTGGTCTTCAACGCTCAATCAAGGCACTGATCAAACCTGAGACCAACTTGTAATCTCGCACAAATGTTACATACCAAAATCCAGCCTCCTGCAAGTTTTCTTCTTTCAATCTGTGTGGCTTGGGCACTTTATGTAGCCGAAGACGAAGGACTCGCTGCTCTTCCTCCTACAATTAAATAATGCAAAACATTTATCACAATCACCATAAGATAATATTCAAATATTTATTAATTATAATTCATTAAACAAATATTTTTTTCACCATTATTCTCAAATGACTTGAAATATGTTCATTGTCAAGTCTCAGCAGTGGAATTTGGTCAGCCATTGGAATGAATCTGTAAAAAAAAATTAAACAACAGTATTTAAAAAATCATTTAATATAATCTAGTTTTAAGTAACGAACTAACTAACTAATTTACAACCCAACAAAAAAATTTAATATAATAACTTATAATATAATAAACTTATAAAGTAACAAACTAAACTTTTTAAAATATAACTTAAACGTGAATTTTGTTTAAACAACTAATAAACTATTTTTTAATATAACTTCAACTAATAAACTATTCTTTAATATAACTTAAACTAATAAAATATTTTTTAATTATAATTCACTACTAAAAAATTAATTAACTAAATTTTTTATATAAAATAAATTCAACAAATCATATGGCAACTTAACTATTTAACTAACACAAACTAATTACATATTTTTATATATAACTAACTATTAACTAACAAACTAACTAATTAAGTAAAATTTTTACCCTAACCCTAAACTAACCCTAACCCTAAACTAACAAACTAATAATTTAAAATAATAAACTAATTTAAATTAAATAAAATGAAAATTTACTTCGATGTTTGCTTGCCGGACTCCCTTTCTTCTTCTTCCTCTTCTTCCTTTCCTTTCTCTCGACACTCTTCTCCCTTTCTTTCTTATGCTTCCTTAACCCCATATCATACCCCCTTTATATTAAAGGGTCGGCTGCCATGCACCAATAATTGAAGAATCACGAGCCGTTGATTCTCGTGGATTGCAGCAATAATTGCTGCATGAAGCAGCGAAAATTATGCTGCAATAATGCATCGAGCAGCGGGAGCAGGCGAGCAATAATGCAGCGAGCAGGCGACCATGCAGCGTGGAGTAGGGGCCAAAGACAAGGTCGCGAGCAGGCGAGCATGCAGCAGGGGATGTCGCCGGGCGTGCATGGCGACCTAGGAGGTCGTTGGGAGTGCATGGCGACCTATGGTTGGGTTGTGCCATGCACACGACCCTCGTCGGAAGCCACATCGGAAGCCACGTCATAGGTCGCCCGGAAGGCATGGCGACCTACGGCCACACTGTTGATTTCGCTCTATTTCAGCAAATAATCTTGGGAGAACGTTATTTCGTGAATTATTTATTTTTCGTGCATTATATCGTGAGTTTAGCCAAAATAAGGGCTTTTGAATTTAGGAAAAACAGCCAACTGAAGGTGGTTTCTAATCACAGAGATGGATGAATATAATGAAGACAATCAAACCTTTGCTAGAGCATAAAGCATTCTAGTAGAGACAGCAGTCGTATGTGTACGCAGGAGGTTTTTGTTTGCTTCCTCTCTTTTCCAGTCGTACATATATCTTTTGGAACATGAAAAAACAAATTAATTGACAACTGATTTCATGGTGGAGAAATATGGAGGAAAAAGTACCAGAAAAATAATTTTTTCATACCCCCTGGAGCCATAACCACCAGATTCATGAACATGCTTCACCAACTGAACATAATCTTCAGGTAGTTCCCTTGTAGTAGATGGAGCTGCAGATGAATACTCCAAATAAGTATCAAAATAAAGAATAGAAAAGGCATCTGAAAGTCATTCAGTCAATTGAAACATACCTTCCAGAAAGAATGTATCATGTGAATCACGAGCAGGGTGGTGTTGTGGCTGGAACAATGCATCAAAGTTCCAAAAGCTACAAGCGGAAACAGATATGGGAAATCAACTTTAGAAACAACTTCTGGTCTGACATGAAGGAAAGAATTAATTAAAATGTAAATGTAGGATTTCAGGTTCCTTCCAATGATTTTTTTGAGGGAACTACAGGCAAGAAGCTCCAAAATCAAATATCAAAGAAACATGTGTAAAAAAGAAAGAGCTGGCCTTATCAACTACCTGCTTTCAACGAGATTGTTTGTTGGCATCTCCTCAAAACTGCAGTCAGCACAAAATGAAAATATGTATTGATGTTAACGACTCAAAGTTGAAAAACCAAATCCAGCAAAAAAATCATCGTAAACTCACAGAGAAAGTGAACTCGATATTAAAGAAACAATAATAATAATATGGCAGAATTTGTGGTGATGCTTAGTAACATATTTTTTATCATCATAAAAACAACAACATCAAGGCAAGGCAGCAAGTGTTCCATGTGCACTACGAGTCAATGTTCATCAGGAGCTCTCAAAGACCCAACATAACCATGTAACTAAAAAAGGTATCTGAATGCGTAAATAAGATTTATAAGTTCAAAACTCACCCCATTTGAAGAAATATGTTCATCAATTGTTGTTTCACCTGAATATAAAATAAGGCTAAAAAAAGTTAATTCCACAACAAACAAGCTGATGCATAAGCAATAAAAAGTTACAGACCCAATCAAGCAAAAGGCGGCGGGAAACGACTTTCGAAGAGAACCATTTGATTATAATGTGCATCAAAATATGATGTTCATACATTGAAATATAGGTGCCACAAAGAATAATGATAATGTCTTACTCAGACCAAAAAGAAAAATGGTTTATTTATCCTCACAATTTTATCGTTTCTTCCATCCATTTTAATGGCAGATATCTACATGTATTTAGTTGCAAATGATTGTAAAAAAACATCTATTTAACAGGCTGATATGCTCAATTGTATTTTAACTGTTACACATTTTCCCAAAGCTAAATGAAGTTGATAAATATACAAACATATCCTTGCCTTGAGTAATGGATGAAGATGGCCAGCTTCAGCAGGTGGTCCTCGAGCATTGAAGTTATACTCTTTGAACTCCAATTCCTTCCAGTCACCCCTAAAAGAAAGTAACCACGTATAAATACCGGTCCAATAAAATCCTTCTGGAGCAAAGCATAATAGTTAAATAATAAGTCAAAAAGTAAGGGATTCAACTTCACTGACGAAATTCTAGCTTCACAAGCATATTATCATGTCTATGGAATACCTCTGTAGATTCTCTCGAGTAGGATCAGTAGCAACTTTCTTTCTTTGAGGGGCATAATTAGGCCCTTTTCTCACCGAGTATCCTTTCCATGTCCTAAAACAAGATGTAAATGGTAAAGTATCAGCAATGCCAACAAAATAAACATACACTGGAAGAAAATAAATGGAGGGACTCGATGATCCCTGTGCAACAATAAGCTTCCTTGCTTTAAGCGAATTAACATCATCTTTGCAAATTTCCTGGAGTTAACAGAAATAAAAATACAACTTTAATCAGCAAATCCAAAGGAGTAAACAAAATTAAACCCAATTGCATCATTTCACAAAGAAAACCATTCATACAATGAGCTTAAAGCAAAACAAAGAGAGACAGGTAACATATCAAAATGGTGAAATACCTGTCCATTTTGTATTCTAATAAGCAAATCCTTGACCTTGTCTTCGACATGCTGAACCTAAAACAAAGCAAAAACAGCATTGATAAATAACATAATCACATAAAACATGAGCATATTCATGAACATTAACCATAAAGACTTACTTTTCTTCTCGAAACTTGCTTTCCCTACCCTCCTGGATTTATTCAGCAGAGAACTGATGATTTGAGATACCTCTTGCTGGCAAGCCCTTCAGATCCGGAGAACTTCCCATTTGTTGTTTTGGGAAACAAAGTTGACGTGGATGGTGGAAACAGTAGAGTGGTATGTGTTTATTTATTTTACTTATAAAATTCCTCGCTTTGCTGATCCATTACGCTCTATTTCTGTCTCTTGGTCTCTACAAAGACAATATTATCTGCCTTTTGTGGACTGTCTAGGTGTCTGAGAAAAAGGCTCGAGCATGGTGTGCCTCCAAAGGAAACATCCCGTATTTCGAGACATCTGCCAAGGAGTGAGTTAACGTGGAAGAAGCTTTCCAATGCATAGCAAAGAATGCCCTGCAGAGTAGTGGGGATGAGGATGAAATGTAAGTTCAAATTCATAACCAGTTCTATTTCTGATTAGTTATTACTTACATATTTCTGATTAGTTCAATGTCTTAACCGCGACTCGAATTTGTCTATGCATAATTCATTTAACTTTCAACGTTTTACCGTTGCGAATTATGAAGCCTTTCTCCCTCTTCCAGTTAATTGGGCAGGAACGATATTTTGCATGCGAAATCGATTTTTTCGAGAACCAGTAGTTGCAGACAGAAGGTTGTTAAAAATCTCATTAGCTTTTCAACAGTATTATTTCGTTTATTTTTGAATTGTCGGCTGACATAACTTTATTTCCATTTTAATGAAGATACATGCCCGACACCATCGACGTTGCGACCACCAGCCAACCGAGGTCAACTGGATGCGAGTGTTGACATAAATTGCGTGATATTTTCCCTGGTTTGTGCAAGTGTTTGATCTGATCTGGCCCTCTCTGCCATTGCTTAAAATGGTGCGGTTGGATATGAGTTGCCTCTTTGCTGTCTTTATAACGATAGAGTTCCTCATTTGTTTAACCATTTTTTGCTGCAAAATCATTGTTTCCCAAGTAGACTTAAAAAATTGGTGTTGTTGAATAGAGATATTGAGTGTTTCTTTATTAAATTGGTGTCACAAATTGATTAGATATGAATTTTTTTAAATATAAAATATTAATTTAAAATAATAATTAATATTGTTAAAGAGTACGTATATCTTAAATATATATATATATATATATATTTTAAACTAAATAATTAAAAAATATTATTTAGAATTGAATATGGAATAAAAGATTTATATGTAAATCATTTTAGATATAACTTTTGTTAATATATTTTTGGGTAAATTTACATTTAGTACCTAAACTATTAGTTTTGGTATATTTTAGTGCCTAATTTTTTTTCAAACCATATTTAACGTTTAGTTTTCATGTCATTTTAGTACTCCATCATTAAAAACTTAACGCTTTTGGTTTGTTTTAGTACCTAAAATTTTAAATTTTTCAAAACTTAAGTTTTTATCGGGGTACTAAAATGAAATAAAAATTAAACTTTAGGTATAGTTTTGTAAAAAAAAGTTATGTATTAAAATAAATCAAAACTGATAATTTTGTACTAAACGTGTAATTTACCGTATGTTTTAATATAAAATATTGTCGTTTGTCCATTTTAATCCTTTATTGAGATAATTGTTTTAAATAAAACCTAATATATTTAAATTGAATATGTTTCTAACTAAATCAGAAAAATGTATATAAATTTCTGTTCAGTTGGTGTATTTTCAACAGGAATTCGACGTCAGACCTTTTCGATAAAATGTTAATTTTGATATCATAAATGAAATAAGTTAAAAATAATACATTTTATAATATCCGATTTCAATTAATTAACTAAATATTGATGATTATAAAAAGAGGGTAATTATAGCTGCGAAAAGGGAACTCCCCGCCATTTATAACAACAAAACAGATCTGTCCGTCCACAAAATGGAATGCATGGGGTTATATCTGATCTTAAGATGCCCTAAGAATTTGGTAAGGTTATGGATGTTTAACTTGCATCACCTAGAATTCATCATTACGTCCCAAAGTATCAACACTATAAACTAGCCTTACAAAAAATACAAAAGCATAGATGGGAAAAAAATTCCACGTCAGACATAGCCTCGACAATTTCGACTAGGATAGGATAGGATCGAAGGGAGAACCATAACCATCTGCTCCTTCCTCCTATGATCATGAGATGTCAGTCGATAGGCAGTGGTATCCGGATTACTCGGAGATGAATTGGTATGAATGTCAGTCGATTAGCAACACTAAAGCTAATGCGAACTGCAACTATAAAGGGTAGTACTCACCTGATAGATCTCATGATGACCATCGTATAAGAATGGATAGAAAATTCTATTCACAGGTAGAGACTACTTGGTACCGACAGAGGAAAGGTTTTCCTGGTTAGAAGGCCTAATTGAGCTCCCCGCAACCATTGTGGTCCTTGTGGATACGTATGGGTTGGAAGGGGTAGGAGTCATAGAACCCATGGGTCTCGACATTGGCAGTCTTGGGGCTTTCATGCTCATAGGAGGCCTAGCAACTGAATTTGCAAAGTTTGCTGCAACTCTATTTGTAGCATTTGGTTGTGGCATTGCTCTAGAGGAGGAAGCTGGCAAGCCCAGTCGAGCAGCAATTATCTGTGATCGCTCGTGGTAAAGCCTCTGCCTTGACCTGTCCAATTGCTCCTTAACCTTCATTACGACTCCTTCCATGTCATTGAAGAATGCTAATTTGGCTTCCAACTTATGTAACTGCATTTAATTAAAGCCTCTGAAAACTTGGGTTTTGCTCCAGTTCGATATTTATGGGAAAAGGAGATTACATGTATTTTGCTACTAACCTGTTTTTCTATTAATGATGCTGTGAGTTGTCGGATTTGGTCCTCTTCCTGATCAGCTAGAAGTTTTGCCTTCACTGCTGCAGCTGAGAGTGCCGTGACTGCAGCACGCTTTACTTTATCAACGCTGCTATTATCTTCTCTGTCCGTAGAATCATGATTCTTGTTTTTACCTTCTTTACTCTTGTCTGCAAAAAGCAATGAGGTAAATGATACAATCCAGAATTAATGCATTTTAACACTAGGTGGTTCTTGTGATATATACTTTCGATGAAAACTATAAAAACACCGCCACATATCCAGAATTGATGCATTTTTCTAGCTGCTCTACGTAAAACCAACAGATATGGCATACACTTAACCTTATAGAACCAGGCAGTGCTTCTAGCCTTCTGTATATATTTTAAATCAGATTTGTTATCTATCTCTACATATTCTCATAAGATATTGCCAAGCATTTTGCAGTAGAGTGGTTCCTGTTAATGTCACTTCCACATTCTAAACAATATATGCATAGCAGAAAAAGAGAGAGAAACCTGTGGTATCTCCTTTTTCGTTTTCAGAATTTGATGCGACTGGTTGCTGAGACTCGGTCTTTTCTGCTGGTTGTGAAATAGATGCCATTTCAACATCATTTGCTGCCTCTGCAGGCTTATTAGATTCTCCACCAGCACTCGGTTGAACATGTTTTTGTTCGTTCTTTGCTCTGGATGGAGAAGAGGAAGCCGTCTCTAGATTTTCTGACGCATTTCCCGCTTCAGATGGCTTTCCTGCAGCTGCATCACAGAGCTCATTCTTTTCCACTGGAACAGAATCAGAAATATCTACTCCCTTCATTGCTTTTGGAGGCTCTGAAGGTTCTTTTTCTGTTTCCTTCCTGCCCGTCTCCTCCAGTGGACTAGGTAGAGGCTGGGATGATGAGTTATTTGATACCGTCGTTACACTTGGTTGATGATCCTTTGATTGATTAATAATGGTGGATCCATTAAAATTAGCCTTGTTATCTTCTTCATTAGTTGCAGTATTGCTGGACTCTTTTTTATCCACAGTAAAGTCATTGGGTGAAGGTGATGTCACCTTCTCTTCAGGAAGAGAAACTTTGGTGTTTTGGTTGCCATTATTGCTAAATGAACTTTTCTGATCCCCCTCGAGGCTTTTGTCTTCCGAGTTTTTCACATTTTGAGCATCACCATTACCCATATCGTTGACAACACTGTGTGTCTCAAATTAACATCAGATAATGTTAACAAATTGCTAAGCAGATATAAGCTTGACATACCTCTCAGAACATGTTGGTTCCTTCTTGTCATCTGGTGGATCTTCCAAAACAAAGCAGTTCCTTGCAGCCAGTTGAAGGTTAGGACAACTACCAGATAACAATTTCAGTGAACTCTGGGCCGAAACAGAAGCAATGTTGGGTCCGACCAGATGAGCAAAGAACCCTGCCTGCAGTTGGAGCAACACTAATTTCATAACATATCACCACAACAAATAGACAGGTAAATGACGAATAGAGGAATACATCAACAAACATTTTCAAGAGAAAAGTTGCAAAGATCAATGAAGCAAGCCTTTATACAGAAGTACTTAAGATTGTTTCATAAACAAGTATAGAGCATGTGGTAGATTAATAAAAGACTGCTAACAGCATTGCAATCATTTAAAAGGAAGAGGAGAAAATGACCGCGAAAAAATTATTGCTGAAGAGCAGAAAAGCAAAATGCAATAGAACATCACTTTGAGGTTTGATCATTCATTTAATTACCAAGCAAGCCACCGTGTCTTTTACATTGGAGGTCGGAGAAAGGACACCAAAGTTTTTCTAAAAGCAGAAACGAAAGATTCCTGATAATTTTTTTAGGATAAGAAGAGTATTTCAGAAGCTAGGACAAAGTGGATAAATTTAGATTGTTAAATGAAATCAGTTTTCCCTTCATATACATCAATTGATAAAAGCTAAATTAAATACTTACACAGTCAACTTACCAATGCCATGACAGGATTTCCCACATCAGCAAATGAGAGTGTCCCTTCAGACGTTAAATCATAACCAATAGCTTCAAATGCCTCCCTTAGTGCCACAAGTGCACAATTTTCAGTTGTGTCTTTCCCATCTTTTGCTACATTCGTTTCTTCTGGCTTTGATGTTTCTTGACCACCATTTGCATCAGTTTCAGGTTTAGACGTTTCCTCTCTGGCTCGCACTTCTTTTCCATCTTCAGGTTTTGAAGTTTCCATTGGTGTAGTCTGGGCCTGATCCTCCTGCAGAGCAGCATTCTTACTCTCTGTTGTTTCCGATACATCTTTAGGGACAGAGGTTTCATCACTACTGGGAGCTGGTCCAGCAGTTTCTTTTGAATCGGTGTCTATGTCATCATCGCTATTGAAGAATGCATCCTCAATTGGCATTTGAACAAAGTGCAGTATGCATTGTGCTTTTGTTTTCGTAGCAACATGCTCCGCAATCTCATTCCAGTTTTCTTTATAAAGTTCAAGTGCCTCGAGAAGGAGGAGGGTTTCCTGATCTGTCCACTTGCCGCCACTAAGACCAGGGGAGTCAGCAGGTTCCATGAGAATAAAATCCGAAGAAGACATGCCGGAGCCAAACTTCCCATCGTTAAAGCAATCAGTACATAGGTCAAAATCGGCCTGCCAAATACAAACACAATTACATTATAAAGAAATGGAACAAGAAGTCAATAAATAAATAAATAAACAAAATTACTAAATTAGTTACTCTTTCCATTTTGATCATTCACATTATAAAAACTTAAAAGACCAATGGCTTATCGTTGCAAGTAAACAGATGCGCTGGTGGTGCAAACAATTTATGCTCATTTCTGATTTGTTGGACAAGAAGCAGAATCTAAAAAGGTTTGTGGAAATCCAATTTTATTTACCACTTGGCTTGATGTCATATAAATTGATTTTGAAGAAGTAGAATTCCCTCTTATTCTCTCAGAAATATAGGGCTTGTGGAAAATGTACATACAAATGCAGGCAAGATTGAAACATTGACTACCACCATAAGAA